ATTCACCATATTTCGTGTAAGGTGATGAAGGACTGGTAGTAGAATTTTCCCACAATGATATGAGTTGAGCCTTTCTTTCCAAAAAGTTGTTCTCATTCAGGGTGGACTGCAGTTTCGAATCCCGCTGAGGGTGTTGATAAGACCAATGCGAGGTCGGAACTGCAGTCCATCCTGAATGAGAACAACTTTTGGGAAAGCAAGGCTATGTGAAATTCAATGGAAAAGTCAGCCCAACTCATATCATTGTGGGAAAATTCTACTACCAGTCCTTCATCACCTCACACGAAATAGGGTGAATAAATCTCATTCCAATTCTTCATGCAGTCCGCTTAGCGCTCACCTTCTCTTTGCCGATCTCCTTCGATTGCTGCTCAATCTCTTTGCCCTTGGCCACAGCCAGGGATTTTGTTTCGATTGCGCGCTGCTTTCTATTTGTAATCTCAGCCAACAGGGCTTCACAAGCGGCCGTCTTTTCGGCCACAGCCACCTGTTGTTGGGCCAGTTTAGTGTTTAACTCAGCTAATTGTACAGAGGCCTCTGCCAATTTTTTAAGGCCTCCCTGAAGGCGATCACATTGAGCCTGGTTAAGGTTCACTTTTTCATCCAACAGCCTGGTCAAAAAGAAAATGCATATATTGAATTATGAATATTATGATTAAACGTATTGACAAAGAGTAAAAATCAAAGTAAAAATTCGATAAAAAGAGCATTTAAGGAAGTAATTCGTCATCTGTGATATACAATGCCACCTATAAATTTGTGTATTAGACTACAACCTGTGTTAATGGTAATAGAAGACGCTAATTCAGACAGAAAGGCAAAATAAGAGATTATAAATCATATGGAGTGCTGGTATAGAGAGTTATATTACATCCATCACTATTCTTGCCCTAGATTATGAATCATTGACCGACTCAATTTTGACACCTAAAATATAGCAGAGAAATATGATCCAAACTTTAGCCCTTGATGATGAATTAGGCATAAGAATGCTACGCAACTTTTCCCGAACTGACAGTAGATCTTGAATAAGAGTTGTATTCATCCTAGGTGCGTGCTTCAGGATGTTTACGTAAGCAATAGGCAAGCTATTCTTATGAAGGATGTAACTGCATTAGTATGGTTCTACGCCTGCCGATAACGAAACGGTAAAGTTTATATTGACTTTCATGCCAGTCTCTAAACCACTTGTGTGGCCGTTGTGAAAGGAAATAAAATGCAATATCTTAGTCGTCATGTATGTAGATATATATACATATATATATATGCACGCATGTTTATGCACACTTAAGCCTGACGTTATCAACATGGAAAGATTAGAAAGCAAGCGGTGAACTTAAAATGCATAAACAAAGCCTGCAAGCCTCTCATAGTCAGAAGATCTGGGCTAAGAGTAGTAGTTCGAGATGAATAAGGCCTAAATCAATGAGTTTGGCTGGCTCCAAAGAACTGGCTATTTATTATGACCTCTAATAACACTTAGGTAATGGAGCCTAAAAGGTCCCCAAATGGCCCAGATGACAATCTTTGTGCCCGAGAAAAGAAATATGTTTCACTTTGCAAAGGCTCTTATCAGCTGCTCTGATAAACTGGCTATTGCAAAATCAGTTTCCCTTTTAGAATTTTTATGCAATTTAGTATTTCCTACTAAAACTAACGGGATATATGCAAAGTCAGGGCCATTGAACAACGAGTAATGGCTCAAAGGCCCTCGTATACCAGGGATTAATAACACAATATGCCAATACCCTAACAACTAGTATGATAGCGGTTCTGTTAAAGCAGCACAAGAAAGCACATAGTAAACAGTAAAGCTAAAATATAGCTTGATTTTACGTCATTAAGTAAATCACAATTATTCAAATGATTGTGCATATTTCGCGACTTAAAAGTAATGATACATCGAAAATGATATATTTTATTAGCCGTTGGGACAACGAGAAATTGAAAGCCGGTTTATAACGAAGTCATTATAATGATCTGGAGGATGCATTGACTATAAACTCATTTTCCTATAATGAAATTATTTATACAGGACAACCTATAGCTGGCAACAGAAGCAATATAATGCAGTCACTCTTTGGGCCAACTGAGGTGGCCAGGTACAATTTTGGTTCCGGTATCATTTGAGAACGTGGTAAGCCCTTCTAAGGAACTGGTAGGGGTCAGAAAAGGACACAAACGGAAAACTTACTTAAGATAGGTGTTGATAAAATCCAGATAATGCTTCGGCGTTACATAATTGATTCGTCGTAGGCGCTGAGCAAATTGGATACCATACTTACTAACACTCTGGTGTACCTTCACTATGTGCTCCATAACAGAGGCCCGATTCTCCTCTGGTATGAGTCGATTTTCGGGGCTGATGAATACCTCAATTACAGCATAGAGGGCTTGCTCAGGCCAGGGGAAGAACCAATCAATCGTGGTGTTGTTCACGATTCCTGGGAAGTTGCGGCATCTTGTGCGAAGTGTTTCACCAACCTGAACTCGAGAGAATGTGTAAATCAATTACTAATTAGTGAAAAACCTGTAACATTACAGAATTGAATCATTGAGCTAATATCCTCTCTTATTTATTTAGTATGATTTATGTGTTGATACATTTATAGAGCAGCACACAACATAATCAATTATCATACTAGAGAAAATTTACCACATTTAATTTTAGTTATGACTAGAGTTGGTTAAGCAGAATACGGCTAGAAAATTAATATTCGTAATTGAGCAGGGTCTCATTAGAAAATTAATGTTGAGGCTATCCATCTGCTTCCGTGAGAATGAAAAACATCCTTAGCTTTTCTTAGGAATTCCTTATAATCGCTGAGTTCCGAACTCACTAAAAAGGCTCTCTTTGAAGTGGTATCGGAAATAACGTACTATAAGTCAGAAACTTCTTGCCATACAAATAGTTTTGAAAGGGAAATGAAGTAATCCACTTCTTAATGTATACACTCATGAAGCATTTTAAATAGGTTTTTATATACTGCCTAAATGCTACAAGAAAACCTGCGGGATAATTTAAAATACTTAAATAAAATTTGTCAAGTAAGGAGTCTCGAATTCATCGAGGTGAAAGCAACAAAACTCAGCTAGAATAAAACTTACTTTAAGAGGAACATCTAAGGAATAAGTGTGGAATAGCTTGAGAAAAATCACTATTTTCACTGATAGGGATATGAAGAAAATCTCCCAAATTCAGGAAGGCCTTGCTGGCAATAGCAAGAATATGAGAGATCTAAAGTAATTAACATAAATGAGTCTAAGAGAATAACTAAGCTTTCAAGCAAATAATTTTTTTTTCAGTCTATTGTATCTTATCAAAACCAGGCCTTGGCTTATATGCCTCAGTTCTTCCCGATACCCAACTGGTCCCAAATCAGAGGCAATTCGGCCCTCAATTCAATTAAATGAATAAAGCATAATGGATCAGAACTTCATCTAAGACTTATTATTATTTAATTATGATTTTAATCAAGTATATAATTTTTGCTAATTCTAGATTGTTTCAATTTGCCTCAGTTATCAGACTTTATCTGTATATATTTCTACTTCCACTTGATTATGTATAAACATACAGAACTTATGACAACCAGTGAGTATGATCATTACGATTAGATTTATTCAGTTAAGCTGTAAATTATTAAATCCAATTTTCCTACCTCTGAGGTCCATTTTACTACATCGTACTGCCAGAAATAAACAGTATTTTGAAGTTGGATGAAATAACGAAATGTAATTTAATTATTTGTCTCCCCTATAAGTGTGGGTATAATAAGGCTTACTCTGCCCTTACAAGTAAAGTTTAGTTGGAAAAAAATGGCACTCGGAATATACAGTCGAATGAAAAATATCTAGCATTGGGCTTGTGTAATATAATTTTGAGCCACACTAAAGGCTTTGGAGAAATCCAGTAAGATCAACTCTTAATCTATTCTAAACTATGGCTTGCCTTTAATTTCAATTATAAGTTAAATCCTTCTTTTTAATTCATCAAGGCTAGTTTGACAAAGGTGTATTCACCCAATTTCGTTTAAGGTGACGAAGGACTGGTAGAAGAAGAATTTTCCCACAATGATATGAGTTGAGCTGACGCTTCTATTGAATTCCACATAGTTTGCTTTCCCAAAAGTTGTTCTCTTCCAGGATAGACTGCAGTTTCGACCTCGCGTCGGTCTTATCAACACCATCAGCGGGAGTCGAACCGCGACAGGGCAAGATGGAAGCTTGACACGTTAACCACTCGGCTACACTGCCACGAGCGCCTTTTGGGGCTCTGTGACCCAATGTGAAAATTCAATAGAAACGTCAGCTCAAATCATATCTTCTACCAGTCCTTCATCACATTAAACGAAATTGGGTGAATACATCTTAAAATACTGATTTACTGGTAGTCACTAAAATAATACTTAATTCGAAAAATATAGTTTGACAAACTTCGAAGTAAACTCCCTCTAACTATCGTTAATTCCAGAAACTTTACCAAATATGACTCTGTTTTTGCAACTTAGTCGTATTATCAAAGCGACCTGGAGAAACGCACTTTGCTCAAAGTCCATACTATGCATGATAATGTGTAAAGTTGGACCGTGGACTTGATAATTTTTCAGACATTTCACTGGCATCGCCAGTTAGCCTTGTTATCCGTATCACCAAACTAGAACTCGTCCAAGCCCATGGTCGGAATCCGGAAATCATCAGGTTTACTATGAACCCCGACAAGTTGCGTTTCCCTAAATCTTTCTGACAATACGATCGAGTTGCTAAAGCAGGTCAAACAAATTCTATAAAAC